GGGGGGCTGGGGTGCTCCTGGGCGGAAGTAGCGATATGTGGAGGGGAACTGGGAGGGGCAGAGGGGCACTGTTAGACATTTAGGACAGTTCTGTCATTAGGTTTGTTAGCAGCTGTAAACATTCATAGTCGCTACATGAAACAACGACATTAATCGCAAGGTGACGATCACGACAAATATTTGACGTTGTGTGACGGTTGTAGTTCGAGTACAAGAACAGTGCTTGTTTAACGAGGTCCAAGGTCCAATGAGATGTTCTTGTAAAGAAATAAGGCCGTCATCGAATGAAAAGTCGTTCTGAGATGATTTCTTTCAACAGTGACCCACAGGTCGCTGGCCGCCCGCCACCGGGCCGGGCCGGTGCACAAACCAAAACAAACGAACCATAACCTCACATCCGCGAGCGCCAGCAGCAGCTGCCTGCTGACTCACGGGGCAGGCAGCCGTCGCGTGCATCGTGATTGACGATCGAGACGACAGCGAATCAATATGGGTACTACTCACGGGCGATGGACCGCCTCAGCATCTGTGGGGCGGAGGTTGGGGTTGGGCCGCGCCGCGCCCGAGCGAGACGACATCACGTCGCAAGGACAGCGAGCACACTGGCATCGTCACACTGATGTCGCACCCCTTGGTCCCCATTGGTCACTGGCCACCGGTCACGATGTCGATCGCCAGTAATTAAACTTCAAACGTCCGACTTGGCCGAAAATTGAAACAGAACAGCACGAGATTGCACGAGATCGGAGGACGTGTTTTTCAGCATGACGCGCAGTGAGAGTGAGTCCGTGAGTTAGCTGGTTGGTTAGCTGGTCGTCCGCTAGGGCGGGTGAGGGCGGCACCGTGCGGCACTGCGCGCCCGCCGCTCTCCTCTCTGACAGGTGGCCAGATAGTCGTGTATTTTTGCGAAGAAATGGCACTGTTATTATTACTGGACAAAGCCTAAGCCTGAAATGATGACTCAGTCTGAAAAACTCGGACCGAAGACATCCGTGATACCGTGGCCGTACTTCGCTGGCCGCCGCCGCACTTGCCGCACTTGCCCCGCGCCGAGCTCGCGCCTCGCCTTGTGGTGCAACCCGGGACGATACTCTGGGCGCCCTGCTCCGCCCTGCTGCCCGTAACGAGGCTAATGCAACGCACTCGCATGATCACACGCGCGCGGATCGCTTTCCTTCCTTGTGCCTCCGCGGCCCCGCGGCCCCGCGGCCCTCGCGGCCCGCACCATAAGGGATGCTGGGGCCGAGGGCCGCCGCGCCCGCCGGGGAAGTCCCCTCGAGACACTGACCCCGCGCGGGCGGCGGCTTCAGGCGCGGTTTTATGGAGGGGCGAAAGGACAGTCGCCCCCCTCCCCTCCCTTCCCCTCCCCCTCCCCCCAATTTGGCCCAAATCACACCCTAGGGTAAGAAAGCAATCTGTCCTATACAAAACCCAAGCAACCCACAGTAAATCGCCCTCTCCGTCAGACGGACTTAAAACCGCGCCTGGGCGACGTCAACTAACAGCAAAGAATGAATGACATCAATCGGACGAGGGTCGGGCGTGGCCATTCAATTGGTGCCAAATGAAATGTGTCCATGATGTGAAAGTATTCTAGGAATGCAGATCGACGACAAGTTGACATTTTGTTGATGGCTGACCCATTCCCGCCTAGGACTAGGCTTGGACGAAATCTGTCGTAAAAATTCCAAAGAAAAAAAACGAAAGGTTCTTAATTTGGAGTAGTTCTGTTCAAAATGTCATGAGTCATGCGTATATACTAGTTCGCATATATAGGCCGTCCTATTTCTTAAGGGGTAGGCAACCCATGTCACTCCAACAATGTATAATGGGTTGCCTACCTACCCACGGAGGTAAAGAACGGCCTGCGTGGGCCGCACTGCCGACACACACAAAGAATTGCTTGCAAACCAAATTGCCGACTTTCGGAGGTGGTGCCCGTTCAGCCCCGGGATGCTCAGCCTTGTGCTCTCCGTGTTCCAGACCTGTCCGAGTGCCAGCTGATGCAGGTGCCCGACGCCGTGTATCACCTCATGCGCCACACGCCGCTCACGACCTGCAACCTGTCGGGGAACGTCATCACCAAGCTGCCGCCCAAGTTCGCAGTCAAGTTCAGCCTTATCACAGGTAGCCCGATTTGATTATTGAACCGGCCTCTTTCTACGTGAGAAATGACTGTCACGACGATGTCGAACGAATTTCTCTTTTTTGAAACGATATCGTTCCGATAACCTGTTTCTCACTGGGTTTTGATGGCATTTTCAACTTATTTTCTTTTTGAAAATTGCGTATTATTTTCAAAGAAAAATGATGCTGAACCTTCTGTGGTGTGTCGCATTGCAGAGCTCAACGTGTCCCACAACCAGATGAGCAAACTGCCAGACGAGCTGAGCGACCTCGCGGAGCTGCACACCCTCGACATCAGCCACAACGCCTTCATCACCCTGCCGAGGGTCGCCTTCAAAATGCCCAAGCTGGCCAACCTCAACGCCAACCACAACCGCATCATTGGTAAGCAGTACTCGTAGCGGATCGTTCACAACCCACGAGGTTTCCGTCTTTTTTACGGACCTGTGCGGAGCATATTCAAGCGAGGGTAGACTTGTTTTTTGCACAGAAATCGTAAAAATAAGCAGGTATTTTTGTGTTATTTGTGTGCTATTTTTGGGGGTGGGGGGTTGGGCCAACTTTATTATGGCCCTCTGAAAGCTTTTTACGTGATACTTTGTTTTGACGGTTTTGGTAACAATTTGACGTCGTGTTCGTGTTAATTTAATTTTGGCGGCATGATCCTGATCGTTGGTTTCCCTGGTTGCAGAGGTGGAGGTGGAGCGGATACGCGAGGCGCCGTCGCTGGTGGAGGTGGACCTGACCGACAACCCCGTGCTGCCCGACGTGCAGCAGGCCCTGAAGGCGGTGGAGGGTCCCCGGGTGCTCCTCAGCGAGCGGGAGAAGGAGGACTGGGAGGACCTCACCGTCTAGCCTCCTACTCAGCTCCCCGCCTGTCTCGTCCCGCCTGCGGGGAAGTCCGAGCGGGCCGTCCCATGTTCGGTCTCCGACGGAAACGCCCGGCTGGACTTCCAAGATTGGGTGGGACGACACGGACCCGGCATCCAGCTGTGCAAAGGACTTCCCCTCTTGTTGAGGGATACATTGCCGAGGCTGTACGACCGCTCAATCCAAGGGTGCTTCACTGTGTCAGTCAGATCCAGTGCTATTCCTGGAATATTATGCAGGCCTCTGTGCAATCCTAGTTATTTCTGAAGAAGAATAGGTCAAACAAGGATGGTATACTGAAGCATGCTCCATAGACTCGATAGTGAATGACTCTTGACACTCAACACCCCACATTGCCAACTAGCTTTTTCTATCTGATCAAAAACCACCACACTGAGAATTTAGGTCTTGGTTTGATGTGCTAAAAATATGCCTTTTTTTATCATAATTTAGTTCCCAGTCGTGAAATGGCTAAACAAAAGTCAGCCTTACTGTAGTTGTTACAAAAGTACCTATCATAGACTTTTATAACAAATAGAGTCATATATGTGAAGGTGATCTCTCTCACAGAGCTAATGATCTCCAGTAAAGTGTGATTACCGAGGCAATTAAACAGGGTCGTTGAGTGCATTATGATTGAAGGTCACACGTCAAACAAATAAGAGTTGCCTGTGATTGCTATAAAACCAAATTGCAGCTTATTTAGATTTTTTGTTCACACCTTCTCTATAGATAAAGGAGGTGCTATTTGTCACTGTGAATTAGCGTTTTCTATGTTGTGTGTATTGTAGTGTTTTGTATAACTTTAAGTAGTATAGTCTTTTACGAGTGACAGTCAGTCCATTGATCTCCTATTCTCATTGCTCACAAAGTCTTTAGGCGATGAGCCTGTTGTGTGCAGAGGAGTCTGGGTAAATCTGCACCTGTTTCTTTTGAGAGTAACAGTCTGTATGCTCTCTAAATTATAGGAATACTTACATAACTTGTAAGCCCTACTCTCTTTAATTAATCATGATAAAAAGTTCTCCGAATTCCGTCCACAATAATGTCAGTTGACTGACTGACTGACTGACTGGTGGTGAGGAGTGTACTTGTACCAACTGAGGCTAGTCACTACAAAGCGATAACAAAAGATTTCTTGTAGATATTGTAAGTTATATACCTGTTATGTAAACTTTTAGGTTGTTTTTATTTTGTTGGTAAGAAATGACAGCTGGTGAATCCTGGTGCAGGCAATCCATGCTTAAAGATCACATCTTGAGACCTTTATGCCACTGTCAGTCCTTTATCCTGTAATTATAGTTCAAGTTCAAAGTTATCAGCAGAGGTACAGGACAGCCCCTGCAGTTTGTGCCAATGACGTGCCCAAACCTGCGATCACTGGTTGCTATTTGCATTTCTTGTTGATTTTTTTTTATATACCTTGAGACATATTATATATTTATTAAACATATTCCAGAAAGACTGGATTTTAATTTTTCTGCTAATTTACAATAATAGAACTATAAATTCAATAAGATAAAGATAGAACTCAAACTCAATGCTCATGAACAAAACTTGGAATGAAAGGAGGACATTGTCTAAGTCCTCCTCACTCAAATGGTTAAATTGAAAATGGTTAAATTGAAAACTTTTTTTTATACCTAATGCAATGTGTCAAAAAAATATTTAAAAAGTACGTACTGACTTAATTTTTGCATGAATGATGATTTTTTGAACAATATTTCAGTGTGTAGAAATAGTCCTATCAATGCCACTTTGGATTTGTTACCATAATACTAATAAACTTTTGTACTTCAAGGATGTGGAATTTATAAAGATCTCTCCCTCCAATGCACACAAAAAGAAGAATAAATCATAATTTGCCACATTTCTTTAATGTTCAAAATACATTGTATATAACAGATTTCTCACCATAATCTCACTGACAGGAGGACAGAAATTGAGCCTCCTACTACGAGTCTGATTCCCGAATGGAATGGCTTGTTCATTCTGAAAATTGAGTAGCACTCACAATTCGTTGCTTCAAGTAAAATCAGTCATCCTTTAGATAGGGTCACTAATTAAAAGCAAAGTATAATAACTTGTTGTCTAACATACACTTCACAGTAAATATGAGTAGATTAATTAACTACAAATCAATACACCTTCTCTGAGAAGAACCTCAAGGTAGAATCAGACAAACATTCAATGGTAACATGACTTAAATGGGTATACGGCCCTATCACAACAAAATAAATGGGTTCACAGATATAAAGCAAATGTGCAAAGCCAAAAAAAAGAGGCAAGGGTATGATTGGCTGAGAAGGACAATAAGAGCATAAATCAATTTTGAGGCAGATTTTTGTTTATTTATTTTAGAAGCCTCACGTCAAATGGAAGCCCTCAAGTAAACTGGAATATCAAAATACCAATCTAAAAGTGTCAAAAGCTGGGTTTTGCTGGTGGAACATAGAAGTTAAGTATAAATAATCCAAATACAGAAATGAGAGTTTTAACAAAAATATAAATAATAAATAAAGGAGTCTATAATAATTTGTCACTTTCAGGCATTAACAAAATGAAAAACACTTAGCAGAAACAAAGATAAAAATTTGTTAGAAAGTCTAAGGGAAAAAAAAGGAAAAGAAACGGCCCATGATTAACACCAAAGGGTACACTTCACTAAAGTTAGATATCTACAACTTACATCTACTACAAAACAGACCACACAACAAATGTACAGATGTAATACAATATCAAAGAGATAAGAGGGTAATGATTACAAAAGCTGACAGCTATGGAGTAGATAGAGCGGTAGGAAGAGAGATGCAATTTGGTTCCGACATAAGACTAAAATGATTCAGGTCTAAAGTCTACAAACACTCTACATCACACCAGTCATACCATTGTTTAGTTCTTTGTTTTTTTGTTCTCATTATTTGTAGTCCCTTTATAACATAGAACACTCACTGAATGAGGTTTAGATACATATTTCAACCATCAGAAACTTGATCATTAAAAACAGGAACCATGCAAGAAATGTCTCTCAACTGTCAAATATTCCTGAATCAAAGGACTTGAAGATTTTCACCTCTAGTTCCTGAAATACACACAACATATCAACGCTTCCAAATTTGAGGAAGAATGACAATTAAATCTTTCTCACAACTTCAACACAAAACCTGATTGAAATAAAGATGCATAGAAGAAGTTAAAAGGATTTAGATATTTAAATTAAGCAAGAGAGATAAAATAGAAGGAAGGAGTCACCTAGAATTAAGGTAGGATGGACAAACTACCATGTGAGTCATCATATGGATGGCAAGAACAATGGATGAATGTTAATAAACAGGGCTGGATATGTATGGAAAAGTTTCACATTTGTGCTACTTGGTAGATAAAAAAAGAGTGTGGTCGAACCACATATGTTTTTCAGAAGCCCTGCGACTCCTCTCTATGTTTTAAAGATCAAAATATTTAAAATTGAACTGTTGAACATAATGCTTAACAAAAGACTAATTACATATGTGATGAGGAAAATTGGGTACTTTAGAGGTACTTAAAAAACCTATGGACCTGATTAGGAAACAAGGAGGAGTTGAGAGAATTGAAGACTAAAAATTGAATCGGAATCTAGATTTTGAGTTGGTAAAATACAAACAACAACTTTAAAGTGGTACCAAAAAAAAGAAGACACTTTAGAGTGATGTGTCTGGTCTATTCCAAATTAGAGGCAAACTGAATGAAAGTCAAGAAGAAAATACCACAAACTTGGATATGCTCTGAAAAGAAGAGATAGTATCCAAATCAATTGCACTTTAAGAAATAAGATTTTAAAATGGTAATTCTAAAGCTCCTTGTTAATGACAGTATATTAAAAAAATCAGATTCCTCTTCCTACTCAAAACCTATCCTCACTTTCATAACTACATGCAGCGAATTAAGTACAAATAGCAAATATCACAGCATTATTATCTACAGAGATGGGAATTTAATAAATTTAGCATGTATACATTATAAGTGAATAGGAGGTTTTGGGTATTGAGGATATCTGTATGGTATATTGAAAAACGTGACCTTCACAGGCTTACACATTTCTAAGCATAAAGTTTTTTTTTTTTGTTTTTTTTCTAAAAGAGCGAGCCCTCTTTGAGAAAAATTGAATACATCCCTAGCTATTAAGGAGCCTAACTAGCTGATTTGGTATTGGTATTACTGTCATTAACTAGGTGCTTCTGTCTTCTGCATCACCAATGTAACACAGTCAGCCTTACCATAAAATCCATCTTAATTACTTCTTATTTGTTATTACACATATGTGAAGATGACTAGCAATCACACTTAAAATGCAACCAGTAACAACTTCTCAACTGACAACTGAAGCAGAGGAAGAAATCGTACAACAATGCTAAAATAAATTAACTTGCTGACAACATTTCCTTGCCGATCTAGATATTTCAGTTGCACCTACTTCTAAATAAAGATAATGAACTAAAATAAACAATAATTACAATTTAATAATCACTTTGATAACACAAGATTATATTGTCATTTCAATGAGGATTTTCATAATTAATGTGTTTAGGTATGTATGCTAATTGCTACCAGTTATGCAGTCCTTGTCAAGGGTCCTTGTTCTAAATCTATCACGATCCTCCTGCCTCCGTTGTTTAGGAGTAACTCTTGGCTTCTTCAAAGCTTCAGCGTTGGAGGGAACATCTCCAACTGTGGCACTCTTCTTAACTTCATTAACTTGTCTCTCATAAGCATCCGTCCTTTGCTCCACACTGGGGTTGATGGTGTAGGTTTGATAACGATCTCGTGTCATCTGTCGCCTCTGTTTTGGTGTGGGCGATGTATCCAAACTTGAGGCTTTAGGACTCAAAGTTTCTTGATCTCCCTGCACAGGTTTAGGTTCGGAGCTTGGTGAGCTTATAGTGTAGGTCTGAAAGCGATCACGAGCAAGCTCCCGACGCTGCTTCGGTGTCAGGCCCTTCTTTGGTGAAGACTCAACTGAACTTGACGGTGTGGTACGCTGACTGTCACAGGGCAAGTCTGGGGCCTCTAGTGTTTTTGTATCAGCCACCTCATCATTAAGCTCATTGTCAGAGGCAATGGTCTCAGTGCCTGGTTCCAAGGTCAAGTCTTGGTCAGTAGAGAGCTCAGTAATTTCATGATAGGTAGAGGGCTGGTCAAGGGCATCCACATGTGCAGGATATTTGGGGCCATCTTCTTCTAATTGCATGAAAGCAGGTCGAGCTAACTCATATGTGGCATCACTCGGAAAACCCTCCCGAGGTGCATCAATAACAATATCAGCAGCCTCTGATGTGATGCTCGCAATACTCATGAAGCTGTTTTCAGAGTCACCCATTTCATCCAACATTGAAGGTGCTCGAACATTGTCCAAGTGACAAGTAAAACTAGCAGATAGATTAAACTCTACAGAGACATCATTTCCAATACCATTATTTAAAGCTGATGGTAGGGACTTCTTCCTGGAAGTGCAATTTCTATTGAGAAGAGTGTGAGGAAGTGATCGTCCCGAGAAACTCTGACTCAGAGAACCTAGACTTCCCATTTCTGAGGGAGGCAGAATACTGTCAATACTGTTTAGGCTGTGGCCCATGACTGCAGAGGCCACTTTCGTTGCCTCTGCTTCAAGTAACCAGGAATCTGTCAAACTTGGTAAATCTTGAGCATCGCTTGCAGAGTCGTGATTCTCTTCAACAAGATCAGACAGCTCACGGTAGTTCTCACTCTTAATTGACCCCCCAGTGGGAGCTGTGATGCTGACACTTGGACAGGATATTTCATTTGGTGAAGAGTCATCTGCCCATGTTCCAGTGCTTGTGGCACTGTCCTTCATTACATCCACATCTTCAACAAAATTAAACTTCCTGCCTTGTGTGATGGGTTCTTCAGATACTTTATCATGAATGCCAGAATCTGATAGAGCTTCACTATTAAACCTAGGCCTTTCTGATTCTTGCTTTGGTGTTTCAGAAGTATATTCATCCTGCGTACTTGGGCCTGGCATTCCTGCTGAGAGCTTCTCTTCTTGTTTGGAGGATGTGGACAGCCTTGACCGAGGTGCTAGACATGGCAGTTTAGACACAGGCTTCTTTGTATTCCCATCTGTTTCCTTACTGCGGCTTTTTGGCATGGCAGAACTAATACATTGTTCAAGGAGAGCCTGATCCTGATCACAGGATCCCAGGCTTTCAACACTGAGTGAACTTAAGGAAGTGTTCCGAGACAGGACAGTAACAACTTCTTCGGACGCTGAACTTTGACTAGGGTTGGGCTGATGCCTGTCAGACATTTTATCTGAGAATTTGTCACTGCTGTCAGACAAAGTGAGGGCAACAGCACCGCCAGATGAGGGAGTCGCCTCATCTGAGCTGCATCCTTCAGGCATGCAGAGGAGGACTCGAAGGTTAGGGGCATTCCTTATCACTGGAAAGATAAATAAATAACAGGTTCAGTAGGTTGGTGAGAAAACTAAGTCAAAATAGAAAACAGAGATTGTAACTCACCACTCATATTTATTACAGGTGGTTCCACATCATCATCAACTCCAAGAGAGCTCAGTGAGGCAGCATAGGACCCTTCAACTGGGGTGTCTTCTGTTGCAAAGCGGAGGTGACTGTCACTAGCAGGGCCCTCAGATGGTAAATGACGCACAGGGTGTCGACTGTTGGACAAAGAAAACCATCAGAAACTGTACTTTTGCAGAAGTGGGGTGATAACAGAAAAGGAAGACCGACACGAAAATGTCATACCTACATTAGGGATTTAAAGGCTGGAAAAAAACCTGGAAAAGTTGCGGGAAAAAACGAAAAAAACGATTTTTTTCCTCGGGCTCGGAAAAATTGGAAAAGTATGGTAAAAATATATTTTTAACTTATTACAGGTCTATTGATTTGAGTTGGTTAATAACGCATTTTTTATCATTTTCGGGCATTTAGTTTGAATCTTTTAATGGTTTTCGGGCGCCTGGGCTGTGGTTCATTCAGTTTTCTGGTGCCGGGTTAGGCACTGTCGTGTTACACGACGCCAGCGGACGCAAAGGCACGAACTATGACCTGGTAGGTTCACACAAAAACTCGTTAAGCAACGGAAAAGGTTTAAAAGTTCCGGTGATTTTTGTAAATTTACAGAAAGAAGACTCTATTTGACAAGTAGGCTCTGCTGCAAAAAATACAAGGGTGCTTGGTAAGCTTACCAGTTATTCACCATTAATTTACAATAAGTTTTTTTTCGGTCTAAGTGTCAGCGGATTTTCCTGAAGTAAACTCATATATTAAATGCAAAAGTTGCCCCTAGTTTGATTTGTAAGATTGATCTTTTCTTAAGGATATGCTTAATTAGACTCACTCAAAGCTTTAAACAACTTTATTCACTTGTAAGCCTATGCCTGTTAATGTGATAAAGGGTTGTCGTAAACAAGACGGTTAAGTTTCAAAATGAGCACCTTACCCCATTCGGTGGCGCGGTGGCAGCGCGCAGCGGGAACCAAAACATGCAAAATTTCGCGTGCGTTTCGGGTAAAATGAGTAGTCCTATCGTCTTTGGTGTGAAAAAATAGCGCCCTACCACGCAAGTTTAAACAAAAACAACATCAAAATAAGGGGGTTTGAGATATTTTTGCGACTGTAGGCTTCTGCTTTGTTATGGTTCCGCCGAATGGGGTAAGGTGCTCATACAGACCGATAATTTATTGAACAGCTTTTGAATTTCTATCCTGCTAGGCTAGTTCTGTGTTTTGAAACCTATACTGGCTTTTGTACGTTTGCCATTAGCGCCATTAACAATCAAAAAATCGTCAATAAGTCGATTTTATAGCCGTATGTATAAAAAAGGCAATTTTTCAAATTTTTCCAATTTTTCCTGTAAAATAACTTTCTTTTCCGGGTTTTTTCCGAAAAGTTTAACTTTTCCGGAAAATTTAAATCCCTACCTGCATTCAGATGAGTTGATTGTGAGGTCGCTGAGTGATGATCTCGATGAAAAATTACATGGACTATCTTCACATGCAAATTGCACCATTTCATCATTAGACGGGACTGGCTGGAGAAGTCCCTCATTAGCATGATCCCCAACAGTAGGCCTTGAAACAAATTAGAAAAAAATATACGTCTGTAGGAACACAACTTTAAGTGTAGGTACATAGTATTTAAAGAGGTAGGTAGGATACACTTACAGTCTTCCTCCTGGATAAACATTACGGTTTACTGCCCTAACAATCCTTGGCCCTCCGGTTTGTCTCTGTTTAGGAGGAGTTATGTTTGAAGACCGAGGACCATTGGCAGGAGATGACACTGGTGTAGATGTGGACTTAATACCCATCCTTACGGCTGGTCTTGGGGCACTAGCTGCTGGCTAAATAACGGATGAAGTGGGTAAGATAACTCATTCCTTAGAAAACTTTAAGGCAGAGAAAGCAGATTAGCCAAAGAGAAAAAAAGCAATGAAATACCTTGCGAGGCCCAGCTAAGCTGCGTTGAGGTGACCGCTGAGGACTTGCCTGGGGGTAGGTACGTTGAGGACTGTTGCTTACTGTTGGTTTCCTCTGAGGGCTTCCATTTACATTTCGGTTTACAGAAATAGGACTCATTGTAGGGCTGTGATGACTTTTCACTGACCCACTTGGACTGGCAGAAGCAACCCGCCGAGACGCCATTGAGGAGTTGGGCACACTAGCCCGCTTTGACATAGCTCCACTAGTAGATGGGTGAGACAGCACACTACTCGCATCAGTCTTCGCCTGAAAAACAAGGTAGATTTTTAAATGTAAGAGATGAGAGAAAAAGAAGGATACGCAGCAAAACTTGTCAAAAACTTGAAAACACATGCAAAATTAAGTAAACAAACTACTTCATCAAAACAGTCAAGAAGTTCTAATATATTATTTCATGCAGAAAAATTAAGCCAAGTTTGTATTCACATATGGTGAACACTGAAACTGGGTTACAATAATAGAGCAAAGCAAGTAAAATGTTAAAATAGAAGCAAACCTTTGGCATGCCAGATTGAATGCACTCGGCCAGGATGTTTTCATTATCACCAGAAAATGTAGAGCTGTCATCCGACAACTCAGTGCCAGTTTGGTCAAGGTGAAGCTCTTCTTCACCTTCATTTGGAAATGATAATACTGACAAATCGGAGTGCGATCCAGCGTGTGAAATATTTGCAGGTGTGCCCTCCGTGCAGTAGCGGTACATGGAATCTTCACATACTCCATTGGACTGCAATTTACAGTAAAGCATGAGCACATCTATTCATGTGGCTGCTTTCATAGGGCCAGTTTTTACATTTTTCTGAACTACAGTTTTAAATGCTGATCAATTGATTTAGATATGAAAGGGAAAATCTAAAACCTGAGTAATTCCTGAACTATGATGTTAAACTTTACCTGTGGAGATACTACCATATCAAAACTCTATTTCAGGTACTTCACAAGCTTTTGAGATGGAATGAAATAAAGCACATATTACAAAGTGTAACCTTTATGCAGGTATACTACAATAGTGCACTAGCTACTAGTTGAAAGGCTTTTAACTAAATAAAATAATAACTTGCTACATTGAGGCAACCCAACTCTAAACAGGAACAGCACAATCGTTCACACCATTCCATGAGTCTTGGACAGTGCTTACCTCACTAGCTTGTTTGTTGGGAGCGCTGTGACTCCTCACAGGAGGTGTATAGCGCGACGTCGCAGGGGAGGCTCCTCGAGAGGTAGATCCAGGGGTGAGAGCTGGAGACAATACTTTTCGAGTCACAGACGGAATCTTGGTGGGGATTCCTGTTGAGACAGGAATACCGCTGGACTTGGAAATGACCCCTGGACGCCTGTGACTAGCACTTGCAGATGCAGTTGGTACCGGCTGCCTCAAAGCTGTTGGCTTGGCAGCAAGCTGCTGGGAAGCAGGTTGGGTTGGTTGCTGCGGAACGTGAGATCCCAGTTTCGGCTGCACTCTGGTTGAGTGACTTTGCTTGCTCCTAAACCACACAAAATTGAAGTCAACTTTAAAAAATCTGATAGGTTTAATCTTTAAGTGCTTCTACAACGAATAAATTGTTAAAGTTTACCTGCTGTTCTGCATGCCAATATTGATACAGTCTGCTAGAATATCTTCATCTTCATCCTCCTCACCCTCACTAACAAGTGCTAACTCCTTCTCTACGTCTGTCTTCTCCATTCCCTCCTCTCTTCCCAAGCTACTTCGGCCAGATCTCGATGGTCCATCCTACAAAGAATTTGACTGATTACACACAAATTCAAAAACAAAAGCTAGATTACATACACGGAAAAAAAATTCTAACTCACTCTGACATCTCTTGGTTCATCATCTATGGACAATGAGCTAAGACTGGTGGCTCGAGAACACTCCATAGGTGTGTCCTCCACTTTGTAATCTGCAAACCGGTCCTCGAAGACACTATTGTCTGCTGCTTTGTCAATTATTGGGTGAGCAAGAGGTCGAGTTGAGCCTACAGTCATTGAAAATAAATAATATGGTTCAGACATTGATTAACTCCAAAAATTTACAATCTGACTGTATTAGTGCTCTAATGCAGTGCTTACCAGTAAATCTGGCGGGAAGCACTCTCAAGGCTGAACTGCTTGCATCTGACAGGCGGTTTGTAAATTCAACTGGAGCCTTGAGATGTCTAGGGCTTGCGGGAACGAGTTGTGAAGGCGAGTCAGGTAGCTCACTTGGTGAAACAACACCGCTAGTAAGTCGAGAAAATTCGCTAACAACCGAACTACGGTCATCTAGAATTGATTGCTGTTCATAGCTAGACAAGGATCCCAAAGAGCTTGCCCTTGAGAACATGAGGGGGGTCTCTTCCGCATATTGATGTTCAGGATTTAATTTTACTATTTTGCTTCCTGCTGAACCAGAAAAGTATTAATACTTGTTAAAATTTTACAGAAAATTTCACGATTACTAAATGTGAAAAATCATACAAACCTTCCTGATCAACTGATTGACCTGATGTCTCATGAACAGTGGGAGGAGAACCTGGTGGTGTTGTTCCAACGACATTTTCCTCCCCTTTAACATCAGTAGATTTTTGACTTGTTACTGTCTCTTTTCCATCAATTTCATCACCAACTTCTTCATTTTTGTCCAAAGAACTTAAAGAGTCAAAGCGAGACATGCAAACTCCAGGAGTTCCTTCATCACAGAACTGGACAGGTTTTTCAACTGGTGATATGGAGCCAGACTCAACAACATTAACTGCTTCAATAGACTCTGCTTCAATTTCCTTGGTCTCAGTTGCAGCTGGTTCAGGCTGAGACACATTGACTGTCTCAGACTCTGTCTTGAGATCTTCATCATTATCTTCTTTCACTGCAGGCTCAATTCGGAGATCAGATAATGATGTTGATGTGGAATGGTTGAATGGGGTTTCATATGGCGTTCCTTCTGTGAAGTACATTTTTACCGTATCTTCATGGATTGAAATAGGAATTTCTGGTGCTTCAAAATCAGACAAATCATCCTCTTCACCATACTGAAGACTGTAGTCAGTTGGTTGATCCAGATCAGTTTCAGCATAATCACCATAAACTGCTGGACCCCCCTTCTTCTTGCCTTCTCTCTTGGCAGGAACAGGCTGAGAATTGTGTTCTTTAGATGGTTCTATTTCAGACGCATAGCGCTGTGAAAAGTCAATAGGGCGATCCTGAGTCGGACACTCCAAGTCTTCTTCAGCACCTGACTCCATATACTTGTTTCGAACTGGAACAAAGGCTTGAGATTGAGACCCTCGAGGTCGAACTGCAGCTGTAGGGGCAGATGATGATCCTTCATCATTGTTATTGACATTGGAGGACTGAGCACCCTCCACTGCTTCTTCTTTTTCAGACACAGAGGTAGATGCATTGAACTCTTCTTTGATGGATAGAGGTTGCTTTCCATCCCCAGATGCAGGTCTCTGTTCAGTCCATGCCTGCCACTTTTTCTGACTTCCACTGTCACCCTCCTCTGCAATCATCAAATTAGCCACTCCATTTTCAACCACATTCATGTTGACCGGATTTTTATTTTGGTCAGAAGAAACATTCATGGCAACTACAGCACTACTATTTCCACTAGCAGTACTGGATGAATTAAGATTATTCAGATATCGTTGCAGGAATTTACGATCAGATGAAGCTCTGGTGTCCTGTTTACCTCCATCAGATCCAACTCTATCGGAATCACTCATACTTGAATGCAATTTCCTGTCATCTTTCAATGACCCTGATTGGGTAGCATCTGCAGTACCAGCCCTCATTAAACGCTCATAAACTGAGTCAGAATGGGTGCTGGTTACTGATTCTTTGCTGTCAGAATGTGAGACAACATTAGGGCGAATCTTAGGGGAAGGCTTTTGCAATGTCAAAGGCTGCTGAGGGCGTTGGCGGTAAACATCCCTCTCTGTCAATGAGAAAACAAATTTATCATCCCTCAACCCCACAGTGGATGTTGATGGTGAAGTCGAAGGTTCAATGTTGTCAAATGTCTCAGTAAGTGTTTGGTCAAGCTCTTGTTCCAGAGCTTTTTGTTTCCTGGCATATAGACCAGGTAAAGATTGTAAGCCAAGACTCCTGGCTGTAGAATCTAAATGGCGGAAGCAAGAGTCATCATTTTCAGGTTTGGCAGACAGTAAGTTCTTGAGTGTTGCACTTGAACCCATTGAAATCATCTTATGCTTTGAGTGAACCTATAAGGAGGTAAATCAATCATCAATAATAATAAGGTAGTAAACTTTTAAAAATGATAGGAAAGTAATATTTTTCAAATGTTTTGCTCACCAAACTGCGAAGCATAGCTGGGGCACCTAAGGCCCACAAGGTTCTCTGATCTTCTTGGCAACGTGCAGACAGATTCCAGAGGGTGCCACAGGCATTGCTGACAATTGTCAAACTGGTTGATTTCAGCTGCTGCAAGAGAACTTGTAGGCAGTTGTGCTCACGCAAAGTAGCCCTGTAATCCTCGCGGACTGCCACATGACTAGAAATATTGCGAAGAATACCCCCTGCATTCTCAATAATTGCAAGGGTCTTCGAGGGAGCTTTATAACTCAACATCTGAACTAAAAACACCAAAGCTCCATCTACAGCACAAATATCAACCTGAAACAAAGTTTCTTCAATGAGGTAAACCAGAGGCATATATTTGAAAGGGTACTAAGAGTCTAAAGTCAAAGACAAGATAGTTGATATATAGACAATTTAATAAATCCTTGGTAAACTACCTTATTTAAACTGCAGTGAGCAGAAAGATTCCAAAGTGCAGAGAGAACGGATTTCAGAGTGGATTCCTTCTGCGCCTCCATAGCAGAACACATCAGAGCAGTAACTGCTCCAACTTCTCGTAGTGTTTGCTTACTCTGAGAATCAGCCCTCCATGAGAGATTACGGAGAACTGAGGCGGTAACCTGGCGTAAATCTTCACTTGGAGAAGCAAGTTGAGCAACTAGGGCTCGCATGAAATCTCTAAATGAGCACAGCAAAGCCTTGTTGGTACCATCACCAAATGTAAGATTTGTTAAAGCCATCCCTGCATATCGTCGCAAGGTCACACAGTTTTGGTCATTTGTAGTGCTACCATGAGCTTCATGATCAACCTGGAAATCAAAATTACATCTTATTAATTCAGGGACAGTTAATATAAAACAATGCCTAGAATATGTTTGACTACTTAAGGAGTAATTTAATAATATTTCTCAAAATACCTGAATAAGCTGAGCTATTGCATATAATCCTCCTAACTGACACATAGCATGCCTATGCTCTTCATCAAAAGACAATTTCATAAGAGCTGCAATGGTTGGTCCAGGATGCTTGTCTCCATCTTCTATAAATAACAATTAATTCAAAATTACGCTAGAGCCAAACTTTCATATCAGAATTACATTTAAGAAAATCCATCATACCAGTATGAGAGGGCATTGTTTCCACATCTTGACCACTACGAAGGGCTTCACAGTACAACCTGACTTGTTCCAACAATTTTAATACTCGGCCTTCTCGTCTGCTCCTCTTGTCATCTGGGTAAGCGTGCACCATGTTGGAGAGTGCTTGAGCAGCTCTATTTCGGATTTCAGCATCTTGTTCAGAAGAATGCAGCAGCTGAACTAATAGTGGAAGACAACCTGAAAAAGATATTACTCAGGTTCTTGAAATTCAAATTTAGATTTAAGGACACAGATGGATGTAAAAGAAAACAATTTTTACCTGACTGCCTCATGGCAACACAGCTGTCAGGGGAAGAGCTCATGGCGAGAAGTTTACGACTCATATCCTGACGGTCATGTGTACCAAGCATCGACAACAATCCATAAACCATTTCTACTTTGGCACCTAGCTGCTGCTGGTTGTGTGCTCGACGAGATGCTAATCCATCCAACGGTATTGGGCCGGAAGCCAAACTAGAAGATGCACTCATAGCACCGGGGTTTTCCTAAAATCAAATGATTAAACAGTCAACATTATGCTATCACATAAGAAGTACAAGAATGGATAGGAAAAATGCCAACCGAAGATGAGAAGAAACCACGGCGAGATGGAAGTCCATCCAACGGTATTGGCCCAGATACTACACTAGATGATGCACTCATTGGATCAGGGACGTCCTTCAGGAGAAAAAGATACAACTTTAATACTCTAACTCTGAGTTCTATGCAGTAACCATAACTAAAACAATTGGTAAAATGTACAAACCGAAGATGTGCAGTATCCATTGGAGGAAGACATGGGGGGCCCACCAAGGCTGCTGGGGCCTGAATGCCAGAGCGTTGGGTCCACAGGAGGCCAGGCGCTGTGATAAAATGAGGCAGTTGCTGCCGCTTCCTTCTCTCCAGCTGCAGTAACATTGTTGGGATCTGTTGGGGTGCCTGGGGTTCCAGCTTGAGTTTGTGTTGCGCTATTTGTCATTTGCGTCCTGTTTCTGTCCTCAAAGTTCTCCTCCTCAGAATCAGAATAGGTTTTCTTGTCACATGCCTGAATAAAATGAATGTTTCATGTAAGTGATTACAGATGCCAACGGTCTTGTATGCAGACACTATTATGGGTATCACTGATCAATCCATGACCATCAGACTGGCACCATACAGTACTCACCTCTGGTGATGTCCTTCGTTCATCTTCTTCCTTGACCTCCACCACATGCTCCTTGGAGAGGTGCATCGTGTTGTTCTGTTTGATCTCCAGCCTCTCGTTGCCCGTGTTGATGGCCCCATTCATAGATGAGGGTCTCAAGTTAAGCGCCAGCCCAAGATGGGCAAAGATGTTGGCTGCACTTGTCACCTCACTGCTGAGATCACCACCAGTTCTTCCATTCTGCACTAGAACCTGAAACAGACGAAAACCACAACATCAGCTCAATATTCTAGCCCCATACAAACTTGCCACATAACAGGCAACAACCAAACTTTCACACACAACAAAGAGCCCACCCTCGGCTGCGGTGCCACACCCACACCCCACACTTGCTTCAGAGTGGCACACGCAAAAATCAGAAAACCCTTCAGTGTCAGTGAGATAAACAAACCGGCCATAACCTCCCTGCGCACGGTGGTCCTGCCCAACTCGTTCATTGCCAACAAAACATCGACACTCACATCATTACTGTTCGCCTCAGGGGCACAACTCCCGCGGACCTGCTGCTGTTTGGAGTCTCCGGACATCGTCATCGCTATTCTGCCATTTCCATCCGTCACTCGTCGGAAAGTGTCATGCCCAGTATGACATGACATCACGCCAAACAGCAGGCAAGGACGGGGAGGCGCGGGGGCGGGG